TATTAATTTTATTATTGAAGCCAGGAAGGTGTAATTCACTTGTCATTACTTTGTAATAATAGTGGATTAAAATTATTTTTAGATCTTTTAGTTTCCAGCTTAGTAGTGTTTTAGTCTGTTTCATTATTTGCTCTTGGGTATTATTGATCTGAGAAGTCAGTGTCTCTTAAGAGTTATAAAGTATATGAGTAAATTTTGATAATATTAACTTCTAAAAGTTTCACATTTGAGGTTCTGTGTTTCCATTATATATGTATAGGTTGATTAAAATTCATTATAATGCTTATTTACTCTTCATTAATTTCACAGCTTCCTTGTGTTCGGCCCTATTCTAGGCAATAAGAATGCAGTAGTGAATGAGACATCCAGTTTAGCACTTTTTGCAAATTTTTATTCTAGTGATATAAGACAATCAGTGAGCAAAAGAATAATCTAGCCTATAGTGGAAAAAAAATCAGAAAAGTAGTGCCTGCTTGGATGGTAGGAGCAGGGATTGGTGGAGAAGGAACATAAAAGAACTTTCTGGGATAATGATAATTTCTGTAGGCTTTGGGCTACATAGGTATGTGCATTGTTCAGACTCATTGAATACACTTGAGATTTGTACATTTCATTGTACATAAAGGGGAAAATCGTAAAAATAGAATAGATATAACTTACATGTGAGTTCTAAAGAATAATATGTTAAATATCCATTAAACCACATTCATTCTAAGAACTAGAATATTATCATTTATTTGCACTTACATATGTGATTCTCTCTAGTTATTCCTCTGCTTATCTCCAATTATTTTGTATTAAAATTCATTACAACTCTTACTTAATCTTTATTTATTCAATAACTTCCATGTGTAAGGCACTGTTCTAGACACTGGAGTACAGTAATGAACGAGACATTCATTTATTGAATTGGTTTGACATTGTGTTTTGCTTTTTTATTTTTTGACTCTTTAAAAAATATTTATTTTTAGTTATAGGTGGACACAATATCTTTATTTTATTTTTATGTGGTGCTGGAGATAGAACCCAGTGCCTCAGGCATGATAGGCAAGCACTCTACCTCTGAGCCACAACCCCAGCCCCTTGACTTGTTTTAATGTATATCTTGACCATGCACTTTTCATTTTTGCTTGTTTTGAGCTTCACAAAAATGGTTATTTTATAGCTTATAAGTCTACAATCTACTGTTTTCACTGCATTGTATTTCTAAGATTTATCCATGCTGTATAAAGCTATAGTCATTTATTTTAAAAATTGAAAATGTATTCTATAGTGTATACATATGTTTTCTAAAATCTTGATTTTTTTTTAAATTAGGCAAACATTTATTGAGTGCCTGTAGAATTCTAGGTTATGTTTGATGTGGTGTGATATTCATTTAACATCCTTTTTGTTCTAAACTCGTTTGAGTCATTCTAAAATGTAAAAAGTGATAACAACAACAAAAACACATATTCTAGATAAAAACAGATCAAGCTGAACATACCTATAGAATATAAATACAAAACAGAATAGGTTAAAGCCTGTGGTTTCCTTGTGTAGAAGCAGGTGCTGGGGTCCAGGATGATAAGTTTTACTGATAGCCATTGCTTTCTTCTATATGGGCTATTGGAAAGGGATCCTTCTGCCATATGCTGCCTGGTGCTATAGTTTTGGATGAGTTGCAGGCTTAGGAATTCTAGATGATGCAGAGTTTAAAACACCAAAATGGAGCCAAGCATCCCTGCTTTGTGATTGAATTTACATTGTATATGATGTCTCTTCCTGTCAGAAATTTTAACTTGTTGTTGTAAGACTTCATGTTATATATGGATAGCTAGGTTGAGGCAACCACAAACAAGAAGGGGTGATCACAGACTTACATGTGTTTCAGGGGTAAGGAAACAGTGCAATGAGCTTGCAAACCAAATTTCAAAATGCATAAAGAATTCTAATGCAAAGAAAGATAGTCAAAAAAATTGAAAATTGAAACACAAGCTGAATATTGTAGTGCACTACTGTTGTCCCAGCTACTTGGGAGACTGAGGCAGGAGGATCACGATGTTTTCTGGCATTTCTGGATCACAAGTTCAAAGCCAGCCTGGGAAACTTTGTGAGGCCCTGTCTCAAAATAAAATAAAAAGGGATGGGGATATAGCTCAGTGATGGAGTGCTTGTGTTACATGCACAAAGCTTTGGGTTTGATCCCCAGTACTACAAAAATATAAAAAAAAAGACTGAAACATGAATTTACTTATAAAAATTTTTAAAGTAAGCCTTTAATTGAAGTGTGACATAAGTGCATAGCTTGAAGAGTTTTCATAAGATGAACACATTTGTGTTAACCATTACTGACCATAATAGATTATTACCAGCACCCCAGTGGTCTTGTGTGCGTCTTGCACCTCCTACCAGTCAGTCTCCTTGTCCTTCCAAGGTGAACATTGTCCTAACTTTTGTCACCATGGGCACGAACAATTAAGGGATGTGCAAGAGAACTTGAGAGGCTCCCAGGGTTAATGAATAACTCTGCTAAGAAAAATTAGAGGTTATGATAAAAAGGTGACATTTGAATGCGTGGTTGCTGAGAATTTATCTGGAATGGGGGGAAAAAACAAAATCCTCAAGGCTTAAGGTTAAAAGTATATAGTAAATTTTGATTAAGATAAATAAAAATAAATCTACACCAATATGATTGCAAAGAAGTTATAAACATTGCTGTTAACAAAAAATATTAAAATGACTAGATGGAAAAACATAATTCTAATATGACAGCAGACTTTATATTTATATCAACAGATGCCGTAAAACAATATAGCAATATTTTACTGTGCTGGGGAAAAGAACTATAGAATTTTGAGAGTGAGGGCAAAATATTTTTTAATGACTACAACTTAAAAACCCACTGAAACTCACTGAAAAATCTACCAAAAGAGATATTTCCACAGGAAGAGGTAAGCCCAGAAGGAAGATTTAGAAGTCCAAAACAGTGGTGAGCACAAAGTGATATAATTCTAGCAAATTTGCTCTATAATACTAATAATTTATTTTAATTGACTTTTAAAAAATTGAACTAGTTTTGTTGATCTTTTCCATTGTTTTTCTAGTTCTTATTCATTTATTTCTGCTCTGGTCTTATTATTTCTTTCTTTATAACTTTGGGCTTAGTTTTTTGTTTTTGTTTTTCTAGTTTCTTGATCTATAATGTTAGGTTATTTGAGATCTTTTTTGATGTGTTTATTGCTGTTAACTTCCCTCTTAGAACTGCTTGGGCTGTATTTAATTGAATTTCTACAGTTAACAAGAGTTAATAGATTACAAGAAATGGTTTTTAAATTATATATTTTTGAACAAATTAAAATTCTTTAAAATTTTGCACATTCAGTTGCAGATGGACTTCAAAAATCTTGTGGTTTTATATCTGTTCCAACAATTGTCAGGTTTTTGTTTTATTTTGCCCACTGCAAGTTTCATGGGGTAGTATTTGAATAACAAAGCATCAACTCTAATATTTTCTCTAATAGAGTAATATTCTCCATATGAATATAGAATAAATTGAGTAAGTTGCAATGTACTTATTCAGTATTTTCTTTGTATCTGTATGACTTAGAGCGTTGCTCTACACATAGAAAATACTTTGAGTTTGTTTGATATTTTTCACATCCCTACCCTGCTGCCTATGATTATATCTGTGGGAAAGGTTTTCATTTCTATTCATGACTCTTCTAAATACCAATCTCATCTTTTGGCTGCCAGCTCAATTCTGGTATAATTACCCAATTAAATTTCTAAATGAAAACGTGCAAAACAGTAGTCCTTATACTTTTCACCTTCCAAAGTCAAGGCGCAATGTCCTTCTCACTTTCTTATTTCAGTTTATGGTTTTTACATATGTCCTAAGTTTGAACTCTGAACATCATCTTTTACTCCCTTAGCTCCCTCCATATGTAGTAGCATCAAGTCGTTTTTACATTACTTTTAATTCAGCTAATTCTTGCTCCTGTTTGAACTGCTGCAATAATTTTTTTAAAGTGTTAATTATGTCACCTTTCTAATTTGTTGTCTGAGGAATCAAGTTTTAATTCTTTGGCCTGCCATTTAAACCTTCCTTTCTTTAATTTTGTACTTATAAGTTAGGATTGCATTAATTTGCAAGTAACAAGATGTGTGACAGTAGGTATGTGATTTCTGGCACAGATTCAGCTGCTTAGGCCTGCTAGGTGTTTTATATTGGCCTTTCCTTCATGTCTGCCTCATGGTGTTGTGGTGACTGCTCTATCCTAAATTATGGTCAGATTCAGATAGAAAGAAGGTGCAGAGAAAAAAGCAAAAAAGATCATGCCAGCTAGGTCAGCCTCAAAGATGGTCCTCAAAGAACCATCCAGTAACTTCCACTTAAATCTCATTTGCTGAAACATGTTCATGTAACTGTCCATCTGTGGGTAAGTACAATTTTGGGGAGGCACTTAGGTATCTCCAATAAAATTGAGATTCTGTATCAAGGAAAAAAAATATTGATTGAGTAGGTCACAAACAGTCTTGCCACAAGTATGCATTTGTATTTTTAATCCTTTCCCTGGTGGTATAACTTCTCATACATTGCAATTCACCCCAGTAAATTACTGCATATGTCTTGTAGCTTCTTACTCTTTAGCACATTTAGTCTCTTAGAATATGTTTCTTCTTCCATTCATCTAAATACAATCCATTTTTCAAGGTCAGTTTTAAATCTTTTTAATGAAACTCATCGGTGATTCCAGCTTGAATGTTGGTGTTCTCCTGGAGACACCACTAAGCAATTGTCAGAGTAATTCAGTTGTTGGGTAGTCATGTTTCTTCTACTGCCTGTAATTGATTTTAATGTTTTTTTGTTAGTATTGCATATTTATATTATTATTATGATCTGATTTCTTGCACTGTGCTAAGGGCTTTGAGGGTCACTGCTGTCAAGAAGACTTCTTTGTGTATGAGGGATAATTTATTAATATCACTTCGATTTGTAATTTTTTTTTTGCTAATAGGGCAATGTTCTGAGAAAGACTCTGCATGGGAATGGCTTGCCTTATGATGACAGAAATGGAAACAACATCCACATCTCCTGTACATCAGAATGGTGATATTCCTGGAAACACTAATTCTCTAAAGCATATAGATCCAATTCTTCAAGTGTATCTTTACCATTCCCTTGGGAAAGCTGAGGGAGATTATCTGAAGTTTCCAAGTGGAGAGTACATTGCAGAAGAAATATGTGTTGCTGCTTCTAAAGCTTGTGGTAAGTATTAAAAATCAGCATTTTTTCTTTGTACTGATAGATCATTGCTTTGATTATGCTACTCCAATTAAGTGCATATGGATAATGCAGGTGTGTTTTAACATGCATAAAAAAGGATAACAGTACTAGAAGAGAATTTAAGGTGACTTTTCCTTGGGCTGCTTATAAATATTTACTGGGCATTTTTTTAAAGGCCATATAAGGTAACTAAAAAATTCTATTATGAAATATCTCATAACTTAATCTATTTTTTATTAGAGTATTTTAATTGTACATAGTAGTTGAGTTAATTTTGACAAAATCATACATGAATGAATTTTGATTTACTCTGTTTTAGTCCCTGGTGCCCTTCCTTTCCCTCTTGTCCTCCTTCCTCCTACTCTCTTTCCTCTACAGATTATTTATTTATTTATTTATTTATATTTGTTGGGTGCTTTATACATGTGCATAAAGGTGGAATTCACTATGGTATATTTATATATGCACATAGCATGATTTTGTTAAATTCATCCCACATTTCCCCCTCTCTTCCATCCCTCCTCCCTTCCTCTCTCTTTCTTCCATTCCACTGATCTTCCCTATATCATTATAATATCTGATCCCTGGCCCCCCACCCCCTTGTTTGTCTTATTTTTCTTTAGTTTCCACATAGGAGAGAAAACATTTGACCCTTGATTTTCTGAGTCTGGCGTATTTCACTTAGCATGATGTTCTCCATTTCCATCCATTTACTGACAGATGCCATAATTCCATTCTTTTTTATGGCTGAGTAAAACTCCATTTTGTGTGTGTGTGTGTGTGTGTGTGTATAAAGCTTTTGATTTATGAATGTTGATCTTGTATTATGCTACTTTACTGAATTCATTTATCAATTCTAGAAGTCTTCTGGTAGAGTTTTTTGGATTATGTTATTAGCAAATAGAGATAATTTGACTTCTTTTCCTATTTGTATCCCATAATTTCCTTCTCTTGCCTGATTGTTCTGGCTGGAGTTTCAAGAAGTGTATTGAATAGAAGTGATGAGAGTGAACATCCTGTTTTGTTCCTGATTTTAGAGTAAATGCTTTTAGTTTTTCTCCATTTAGTATGATGTTTGGTTTGGGTTTGTCATAGATAGCCTTTGTAATGTTGAGGTTAGTTCCTTCTATCCCTAGTTCCTTCAGTATTTTTAACATGAATGGGGCTGGATTTTATCAAAACCCTTTTCTGCATCTATTGAAGATGCTCATATGATTCTTATTCTTAATTCTATTTACATGGTGATTCGCAGTCATTGATTTGCATATGTTGAACAAATCTTGCATTTCTAAGATGAAACTGACTTGATCATTATATATTATCTTTTTGATATGTTTCAGAATGCAATTTGCTAATATTTTATTAAGGATTTTTGCATCTATATTCATCAGGGATATTGATCTATAATTTTCTTTTCTCGGTGTATATTTGTCTGATTTTGGTATCAGGGTTTTTCTGATTTTATAGAATGTATTTGGGAGTGTTTCTTTCCTTTCAATTTTGTGGATTAATTGAGAAAGAGTGGTGTTAGTTTTTCTTTAAAAGTCTGCTAGAACTCTGCTGAGAATCTATCTAATCCTGTTTTTTTTTTTTTGTTGAAGACTTTTAATTGCTGTTTCAATTTCATTACTTGTTATTGGTCTATTTAGGTTTTCTTTATCTTCCTGGTTCAATTTGGGCAGGTCATATGTGTCTAGAAATTTTTCAGTGTCTTCTATATTTTCCAGTATAGTGGAGGTTAGATTTTCAAAACAGTTTCTCATGATCCTTTACATTTCAGATGGATCCAGATCCAGATATAGGAGATGATATCTCCTGTTTCATCTCTAATTTTGTTGATTTAGGTTTTCTCTCTCTTTTTTTCTTGGTTAGTTTGGCTAAGAGTTTATTAGTTTTACTCATCTTTTAGAAGAATCAACTCTTTGTTGCAGACCCTGTGTATTTTTTTTTATTCTCTATTTCACCAATTTTGACTCTGATATTTATCATTTCTTGCCTTTTGATTTTGGAGTTAGTTTTTTTTTCCTAAGGTAGAGTGTAAGTTTATTTGGAATCTAGTTTTTAATGTAGGCACTCAATACATTTTCTTCTTAGTACTGCTTTTATTTTGTCACAGAAATTTTGATGTTATATCTCGGTTCTCATTTATTTCTAAGAATGTTTTGATTTCTCCTCATTTCTTTTGTGATCATTTAAAAGAGTATTATTCAATCTCCATGTATTTATGTGTTTTCTATTTTTTTGCTGTTGATTTCTATTTTCATTTTATTATGGTCTGATAGGATGCATGATATTATACATATATATTTTTTAAATTCGCTAAGACTTACATTGTGACCTAGAATATGGTCTATTTTGGAAAAGGTTCTATGCACTTCTAAGAAGAAAATAAATTGAACTCTTTTGTAGTGAAATATTCTGTAGATGTTTGTTAGGTCCATTTATTTATTATATTATTTCGGTCAGAAATATCTTTATTGATTTTGTTTGATACCTGTCTGTTAGTGATAAGGGTATGTTGAAATCATCCAGTGTTATTGTATTGTAGTCTATCCAGGATTTCATGTCAAGAAGTATTTTTTTTTTTTTTTTTTTGGTAATTAGGTGCACTGACCTTTGGGGGCATATATATTTATAATTTTTGTATCTTTGTTGTATTGTTCCCTTTGCTAGTATGTAGTGGCCTTATTTGTCTCTTCTTATTAATTTCTGATTGATTTCTGCTTTGTGAGATATGAGACTAGCTACTCCTGGTTGCATTTGTACTATATTTGTGTGAAATATCTTTTTCCATACTTTTATTGTCAGCCTATGAGATGAGTCTCTTTCAAAAAGTTGGATCTTTGTTTTAGACCATTCTGCTAATCTATGTCTTTAAATTAGGGACTTGAGACCATTTGCATTCAGTGTTATTATAGATGCTTGTTCCTGCCATTTTGTTTTTTTTCTATATTTAATTCTGACTTGATTTTCATTTAGTTGGTTGCTATTCTAGAGATCTTCATTTATTTGGGAGCTTTGGGGTTTGTTTTTGGGTTTCTCTGGATATAGTCTCTCTTTGAATATTCTTTGTAGTCTGGCTTATTGGTCATTAATTCTTTTATTCTTAATCATGAAAAGTTTTTATTTACTCATAGATTTAAAAAGAGAGCTTTGTTGAATATAGCAATCTTGACTGGCAATTTGTTTTTTTCTTAAAGCTTACAATATCTCATTCCAGACCCTCTTTGATTTTTAGGGTCTGAGTTAAGAAGTCGAAAGTGAGCTTTGTTGGCTTGCCTCTAAATGTGACCTGACATTTTATTTCTGCAGCTTTTAATATTCTTTCCTTAATTTCTGTGTTAAGCATTTTGATTATGATGTGTCTTGGAGAGATTCTGTTTTGATCTTGTCTATTTGGGAACTATATGTGTCCTTTATGTGAATGTCTCATTTCCAGTATGGGAAATATTTTCTGTTATTATCTCATTGAAGATATTCTTAATGCCTTTAGTCTACATCTCCACATTCTCTTCTATTTCAAAGACTCTCAGGTTTGTTCTCTTGATGCTGTCCCAGAGTTCTTGTATGTTTTGATCATGGTCTTTTATTGCATACTGAGTATTCAAATTCATATACCATGTGTTCAAGGGCTGAAATTCTGTCTTCAAGGTCTGATGTTCTGTTTTCTATGAAATCTAATCTGTTGGTGGTGCATTTAAGATAATTTTAAATTTGATTCATTTTGACTTTCATTTTTAGGAATTCTAATTTTTTTCATTATCTCTATTTTTTATTGAAATAGTCTTTCATTTCCTATATTCTCATAATTTGTTCCTTAGACCTTCTTTTAGTTCATTGGACATTTTATAAATCATTTTTTTGTAGTCTTTTTTGGAATTTCATTTACTTGCATATTGTTGGGGTATTGTGAAAATTTTTTTTTGAATGGAGAGATTTATTTGCCTGTTCCCTCATGTTTTCATCCATCAATTGAGATGAAATCCCCTTCCCTATCTTCTTTGTTCTGGGACTTCTGTCTGTTTTTGATGCATGAGTAGATGTTTGGAAGTAGGACTTGAGGTTCCTGCCTGGTTGTTCCTTCTTGGGGCCTGGTTAATGTTTTGATTTTTTTGTCTCCCCTATTTTATGTGTTGAAGTATCACTGAAGCTTGGGTGGAGTTAAGTTGTAAATGGAATGAGATTCGCTGTTACTTGACTGAGTTGTATTGCCTGGTAGCAGCATCTCTTTACTTGAGCCTTTAATAAATATTTCAAAATTAAAATAAAGACAAAACATTTAATTGCAAAAAAAATTTAAAATGGTGGAATATTAAAAAAAATTAAAAATTCTTCATGAGAAATAAAGGGCTTGTTTCCACTGAGGTTATCAGAATTATTGGCACGAATAATTTTCATTTTTTGAATTTATTTTTGGGCTGTCTAACCCTTGGCTTAAGGGATAGGAGTTCCATCTTTTTGTTCCTTATCTAGCTGCCAGGCACTGTGGCTAGGAACCAAAGCTGGGTATAGTAGCTCTCAGCTTCCTGTCTCCCAGTATAGGGTGGGATAGAATTGGGAGTGCCGACAAATTGTGTACTTCTGTAGTGGGGGTGGTACAAAGTTCTAAATTGGAAGTTCCAGTAGTTGGGATTTAATCTTCACTGACTTTTGGAGCTCTGTTTGTAGGTATTTGAGATTTGATTCATACCCTCTGTTGCTGGGGAGGTGCCGATCTCTGTAGGACATCTGGGTCTTGGGTCCCTCCCGTGAATTATAATTTTAGAGTATAGAGAAACTCTTTCTACCTGTGCTTCCCTCCCCTCATCAGCTGTGCCTGCTGCTGACAGGAAGGCTGGCACATCTGTAACATTATTTCTTATATTATATTTGAAGATTCTGATTTTTTTTGACTGTATGGTTTCTTTTACTGTATTGAATTTGAGTGAGTTCCCTTAGTTACCTGCTTTGCTGAGGAGCAGTCTTCTGGCTCTTTCCATATG